AGATAACAAACTGTTCAAATCAAAAGTATCTAAATCGGTTCATTCGGTTCATATAGCAAAGCTTAGTGAAATATTATCGTATTTATCAAAACCCCTCTCTCAATTGTTATTTAATATTTTTTTTAATAATAACGTAAGAAAATTTAATTTATTATTCATTTAAAGTATTTTTTTATATTCAAATAATATTCAACGCAAATACAAATTTATTTTTAACTCAATAATGGCGATCCCCTCGAGCAACCGGTTTAATGAGAATATTTTAAAGGGCCTTGTTAATATATTTGAACAGGATACCTATTATATATTTTTGTATTTATCTCAACCTGTATATTATATACATTGTACTGGTAATATACTTTTAATATCACAATTACACAATATATCAATAGACAAAAACTAGTTTTGTATATCAACTCAATCAAAAACAAATGTGTCTGAAAATTTTACTTTAAAACATACATGTACATAAAAATAAAAAAAGAAGTAATTAATTTTTATTTGGGATGCCAAATGTTAGGACATTTAGTTTCACAAAACCTTCAAATGTACAATAACCTGAGTGTAAACGTCGATTTGACAAATATGACTTTTGTACTTCTTACTTATATATTGACGTTAATTATAATTCCACTCTTGCATAGAATAGAATGAGGTAAGTCAGTGGTGGCCTAGTGGTTAAAAGGCCCGCCTCTCATGCACGAGGGCGCGGGTTCGATCCTGGCCCGGGCAAGTACCAATGTGATTTTTCCGACTCATATGTACCTACCTTCTAAGAGTATTTAGACATCACTAATTAATGCTGATTCCCAATAAGAGGTTTGATGTCAGGCAGGTGGCCGGTCGTAAAAACAAATGGCCAAAACTATTCACAACATGTAAGGCAGACCCTGGCTATAGCTGGGAAATTGCCAGGTAGAAGATAGAATAGAATAAGGTAACTAAATTACTTCTCAATGGCTTATATGAAGAACATTAGCTTCATGTAAGCCTTAGTGATCGCCTTTAGGATCTATAGGTCCCAGTACCCTTCCGGTCTGTGAACCAAGTATGCTAGCAATTGTCAATTCATTTTAGGAACACATCCTCTCATTTTTGGTTAGGCCACATAGCAAAAAAACTCCTAGCAGAGCCCTTCTACTGTTCCCTGAATGACCTGGTCTTGAATAATGTACTTAGACTTCACAAATATTTCTTACCCATACAGCAATAAAATCCAGAGAATTACTGATGAATGTGTGTAAAAACATGCGTGTGTCACTACCCACAGAGTGTAACGAAAAACATCGTCGAAGCTACATATGAGTACATTTTTTCATCCTGTCAGTGAATATTTTTTAAATCAGTATTCTGCATCAACTAAATTATTTAAGCCGTAGTATGTGTGCTTCTGATACAATATTCCATTACGAAAGGGACGCCGAACGCATTTCATAAAAAATGTGTGTATATGTTAACTGCGTGGCAACTTTTATTTATATTTATAATGCTTTTTACTGAAAAGTCAATGTCTTCAAAAGTATAACATTCTGTTTTAATATTTTATTCATTGAAATTATAAATAAAAACATTTAAAAATTGCATTTCAAGAATGTGACGAGACTTTTTTAATGAACCATAGAACAGAATATAAAAGCTTAAGTTAAAAAAATGCATGGAAAAATTATAGAAACGAATACATCTCTAAAGATTTTCACTTTTCAATTACTACGATATTTATTTCTGATTATTCTGAATTTTTATAGAATTTAGTATTAGTATTAAAGGACTTTAAATAAAACTCATTAATTTTTAATAACCAAAATTTTTTGTTGATATAATTAAATGAATACAATATTATAACAAAGGAGTTTTTTATATTATAAGTTCTTTTATTCCTTTCTATCTTCACTTCGTTTCAATTATAATGAAAGTTACAATTTAGGAATTAAAACTTCAAAATATATAAGATGCCTAATATTTAACAATATATTTGATTTTAACATCATGTTACATATCAAAATCACTGAACCAGTTTTCTGGCTACTAAAAAAAAACTTAACAAAACTGTATTTTTTTTAATAAATAGTTTAATATAATATTTTTTTTAAAACTATTGTCTATTTCATTATTTCAAGAAAAAGGACATATAACATTTTTTTTACACCCAAAACTTCTGCAGAACATTTGATTTACAAGGATTATACTCTCCTTGGCTATAAGCAGTCCTCTGTTGTAGAACCCTTAACAGTTAAGCTTCTTTTGACTGCAGCATGCATGTTCTTATTTGAAGAATTTTGTTAACAATTCTATTCCTTTTTGAGATAACTGATAACACTTTTATAGTTTATAGAAACTTTTTTCTGTTTTTTTAAAGGATATAAATCCTTATTAGTGAAGTCTGGCCCTATGAATCTCTTACATATTAGTTTAAAATATAATATTTTGTTTTGTTAAAATATTGCTTTATAAATGATAAACAAACAAACAAAAAACAAAGAGTAATTAATAAGCCCAAAAAAAAACTAATTGAGTTCAGGACGACTCATTTTATGGGTTTTCTCATGCCAGAGAATTTACAAACAAGAACAATTAGATCGCAACGTGACAAAAAATTTGTCATTATTAATACTTATGACGAAAAATGTGACAATTAGTGTATATTAATTTTATCAGAATCTTCTATGATTCAAACGAATTATGGTGCTCTAAATATCTTTTGTAAGGCACTAACATATAATATGTACATGTGTTTATAGTTTTGTTACGAATGACACGTCACAAAGAAAAATGAGTTTTGAGTAAAAGGAAGGTTTTTAAGATATTTTAAGTTTTTTAAGGCCTTTTTAATTATTCTATAACTACATAATATCAACGTTTCGGGTCTCTTACAGTAACCGCGACCACTTTGAATTATTGTGTTTATGTTTGAATGATCTAACTTTTTACTTGAATTTCCAATGGTCTTTGGAGAAAAAAAATTGTATGACCACATCAACGACCAGCACGAGATAGCTAATTGAGTTTATGACAATTCCTCATAAGGCAGTGCTTCGTTATAGTGAAGGTAAACATTATAATCAGACTCAATATAACAACCAAAAAGCAACTGCCGTATTGAAAACTTTATCAATATTGTAGCAATTGATTTTTAAGTCAATACATATGTACGTGATATCTATCATACATGCACGATAAAAACGAAGGAAAATATAAACAAATGAATACAAAATTATATAAGTATAAATAGAATTTTCAATTATTCCAGACGAGTTATAACCAATGTACTGCCAATGTAATGTTCAATGTACTGCCATGTCCCTGTAAGGACACTTGTTAAGGTTTTCCTGATTCATTTTGTTTTAAAGCACCTCATTTAGTTTCGGAAATGAGACTAGATTTTTTAAAGATAAACCACACAATAATGACTGAAGTATGGATTAAATGACTGAAAATATTTAGCGTGATCCGCAAAATATACATTTTCAAATAAAAATAGCATATAAAATAATACTGCGGTCAAATGTAATTTCTTTTAAGAGTTTGAACAAATTTCCAAGTTATTTTCATCTCCAACTTCATAGTTTGGGGAAAAAATATTTTTTTTTATCTCTTTTTAATTAGTTAATTACTTTCGTAAACAGAAATTACGTCGTCACCACCCACTTACTTATGAATTTTGAAATTCTGAGATAAGTTTGTTCTTCGTTTCCGAAACTTGTTAGAAGCGGCCAACCGTGAGAGGAGAGTCAAAACTCTTAGTAACTACGACTGTCTGTAGTAAAGACGGCATTTAAAATTAATATTTTATTATAAAATATATTAAAGGAAAATTTAAAACAAGTTTATTAAAACATCAGCATTAATCATGTCATCGTTATTTGAATATAATTTATACTTTTCTTCTATTGTCATAAAATAGTAATATTTTACTTTAAAATTAAATATTATGTAAAACAAGTCAAATTTCTATTTTGTAATTAATATTCGCCTCCATAGTCACTGGTGACCTAGTGGTTAAGGGGCTCGCCTCTCGTTATAAACCTGGACTTATAGTTTCACAATTATAAGTTTGAAATCACCAACCCGTCTTGAGCAAGCGTGGTGATTAATGCTCAAACCTTCTCCATGTGAGAAAGAGGCCTTTGCTCAGCAGTGGGCGTTTGATAGGCTGATGATGATGGTGATGATGATGATTCGCCTCCATCACTAAGTTTTTCAATGATTGTAACATTTAAATCACAGCTTATTTCCTAAGCCTGTTTGGTTAATTTTACAAAATCTGCACTCTCTGTTTCCAAATATATCTTAAACTTGAATTGGTAACACCTTCAAAGTGATAAAGCTAGATTTCAGTTTATGACACTCTAATTAATATAAAGAATAATCTTCAATATTAAATTTACTACATGAATAACTTGTGATTTTATTCACTAACAACATCGATTTGATGGGACGATAAACATGTTCCGTCTTGTCCTCAGCTGTCAATATAACGATATCTATCAACAATAATTTCACTTTTATATATCTAATGCGTTAATTTGTTCTAAATGTTCTAGTATAATAAATTAAAAAAAGCAACGAACTCAGAAAAGGCACTTTAAAAATTGTAACTCAAAACTACATTTGTTTATTTTAGTTCAATTTCCTAAATAAAGTTTATGTAACTTTATATACTTCGAGATTTATTAAAGAGCTCACGTTTTATGTTTTAAAAAGTTTGGAATAATAGATATTCTAAAAGTGCTTAAAGTCAGGAATAGACTAGATTTGTTTTAGATATTTCAAATCTGTAATATTAGTACTATTAACTTCAGCAGATTTAGTTTGAACTATATTGTATTTATTAAAAAAGAACCTAATTATTTTTTTACGAGCGAGTGCTGAACGCTTTAGATGATATCGTCATGACTTATTGTTTATATGATTTCTATCGTCTACGGTTTCTGAAAGTAATAAAAAACAAATCAGTACCGCTTCTTTGTTAGATTAGACAGTTTAATAAGATTGAATACAGAATGAAGGTAAAGAAATTATATAAGGAAGCTCAGTTCCACGGAGCGAGACAACTCGCTGACAGGAAATTTAGGTAAAATTAATAAACTTTTATCTCAAAGTTGTACAAACTTAGATGCAGCATTTTATTTTGATTATTTACAGGTTTTTTTGGACGTGTACAATCGTTTTCCTTTTCTGTTCATCGGTGGCTGTTGTTTGTGTGATAGTTAGCAGATATTTTAAAGGTCCTACATATAACGTAAATCTTGAGGCTATTAATGTTAATATAGTTTTTCCAAGCGTTCAAATATGTCCCGAGGTCAACTACTCTGAAGATAAAATGGATAATTTTGTTAAGAGCCTGTTAGTGGAAATTCATATTTGTGTATTATCATAATTTCTAATTTGTACATTTGATATTTATTAAATGGGATCTTGTTCAGGAATTACCCGAGCGAGCTGAACGCTACTTATATAAGAAGAGTGATCAATCAGTTAGCAGCATTTTCTTCTGCAGACGTACCGTTCAACATTAACGACCTGGAAAATATAGAATATTTGTTAGATTACAATAATATTGAAATAGAGGAAGCAACAGAAATTCTCACGGCAACGTGTGAAGAAATTCTTCTTAAGTAAGTAATTATTCCATTTTTTTTTAAATAATACTTTAATATTACAATACTTTACACATTAAAACACATTATTTTTAATATATACACATAGGTGTCGTTGGATTGGTAGAATTATTGATTGTTCCACAATATTTCACATGGAAATAACTCGTTCGGGTTACTGCTGCATTTTCAACGGGCGTTCGTTAGCCAGGTTGGACCTCGTTTTGTTTAACAAAATAAAGCATAATGTTTTGTGAGAGCTAAACAGTTTTGCCTTTTATTTTCACTATTTTTAGAGAAATGTCTGGGTCCATTCAACCTAATGAACCATATACAGACAATTTATCCTATGATTTCGTAAACTCACTTATGTTTGCTGTGGAACAAAGAAACAACTCTGGCAACCTGGACCTCGACTATAAATGGGTATTGTATTTATAAAATGAATACTTTTCAATATAGCTCTTTATTTTTTACTAGTTTTGCCCGCGACGTCATCTGTTTAAGTACAAATAATGTATAGTTGACCGGGCGAACTCTATTTCGTATTAAAGACAGACGATAACATGATTTTGGATTTGATCAACTTATTCTTTCATATTTTTTTTATAAGTATCGTATGACCTTTTCCTTGTTCTAAGCTATCTCTCGACCAATTTTTAGCCAAATACGTACAGCCATTTTTGAGTTATAAATAGTCTAACTAATATTACTTTCTTTTATATATAAAGAATACTTATTTTCAGCTGAATTTACAAACCGGTCATCACTACGTGGATATCAATGAGAATGGAACAGCTGTAACTCCTGGTGTCGAGTGGACCATCAAGTATACGACGAAGACCGTCAAAGTTGCTTCGGAAGCTATAAATATCAATTACGATCTACGAGGATGCCGATTAGCTTCGGAACCACTGAAATATTTCCCCATATACCATAAGTTTAATTTTCTTATTTACATTAATTACAAATCTAGCCTTAACAAAACATTTCTATAGTATAAAATTATCAATAAAATCAGAAGTTTAGGAATATCTGAGTAACTTATGTATAGTAATAATTAATTATTGATTTATATACGTAGGACCCATTGCTTATTGGAATGTGAAATCGAGAGAACAATGTCTCGCTGTCATTGTTTGAAACTGTCACACCCGAAATTACATGGAATGCCGCTGTGCCGTGCTCGACAACTGACTTGTTCCAGGGAGGCAACCGGTTAATAAACATTTATTAATATTATTTCTACATATAGGTTATAGGTAGGGTAGGTATTTTTCTGCATACTACATATAGTGATGGATTCTGAGTCTCAGCTGGAGATACACTAAAATTATTATTATAGTTATATATAGTTCTAGTACTCTTTTGACTGGTGAAAACAAAAGTTTTTATTAAAAACTAGCTGTGACCCGAGACTCCGTGTGCTGAAAGAAAACAATGAAAAAACTTGTAGAGACTTCATGCGTCCCGCCTTGGACTCCAACGTGATTACGCTTAATTTCGAGATCATGATAAAAAGTATCTTAAGTTAATTCTTCTTACATAAGCTACCTGCCAATATAAATAAACCTATCCAAATGGGTCCAGCCATTTCAGAGATTAGCCGGAACAAACAGACAGACAGACAAAAAAATATTTTATTCTAAACGTTTATTTCAATTTGACGAACAGACACTCCAATTTTATTTATATGTATAGATTTCTAGTTTCACCTCTGCTTTAATATCACCTTGGTATATTTTGACAGTTTCGTATGCAATTGAAGAATGTAATTGCCTGCCAACGTGCAACGTCGACATGCATTATGGAGTTCCCGAGGCGTTTGATTTGATTACAAATTCTCATAACATCGACAGTTTTTAGTAAGTACGAGTATAAAATTAATCTAATCATTTTATAGTATGTAAGGTCCTCCTTTCCCTACTTTATTATAGAAAGATATTTAGCACAATGACCTCATTAAAGTTATTCTAACACACGTCTTCTTGAACGGTAACAAAGCCAGCTTATATCATAGTAAAATGTTATCAAGACCGTATATATTTTTACATTACATCGTTGACATTATATTTAACATATCAACAGTGAAAATCTGGACCTTAAACGCGCCACCGTCATCAGAGTGATTGTACAGAAACACAAAAAGAAGATATTCGAACGACGCTCTTACTTTATTTGGTTGAATCTCTTTTGTGAGTATACCATTGTGAACTGACTCGAACGAATAGAGCTTCTTATTTTTATTATCAAACACTGCACTCGTTTTGTAATCTACATGTTTAAATTACTTCTTGTTTATTTATTTCTCATATGTAAAATGTTCTTTTAATTGACAATTTCAGCGCAACTGGGCGGTATATTCAACGTATTTCTCGGCTGCAGCGTCCTCACTTTACTTGAGATATTACAACTCGGCTGGAGAGCCTTAATAAGTTATTATAAAAGAAAAACTAAATAAAGTCTTGTGAAGGTCATAACCTGAAGTAGTTTTCAATAAATCTTTAACTAAGATATGTTCTTAGTCTAGTCTTTAGATAATGTCTTTTATGTCAAATATGTATGTGGAGTTGCAATTAATACTTAAATGTCCTACATTTAATTTATAAAACTGCTTTATCACTTGCTATGTTATCTCATAGTTTCTAGCATTTAAAATTAAAAATCAAAACAAATAAAACAAAAGTTTTATTTCAATAACACAAACATCAATAACTATAATTATTATTAAAGCAATGATTCATATCCCCAGAGATTCCATTCAACTTGCACAAATCGAATAACGGCCTTTTCGCAAATCACGTTCCGCCAATAACCCACGTGTATCTCCTGTGAAATACATAAATTTACCGAAAATTTTCAAAAACCCATTAATGCCTTAACTGCATTCCCCTAAATGGAAGCAAGAATGAAATATGTAGCTGGGGAAAATTGTATTACAAATATATAACTAAGTAAAACGGAGCCTTTCAGACATACCCTCGCTGAAACCTTTCACGTAAGATATTTAAAAAGAAAGCTCGGAAGGGATAAATTCGGTCATTGACTGGGATGGAATAAAATTTAAGGGCTGTTTTCTTAATTCAGGAATGGTGTCGATTTCAAAACATGTTCGATCTAAATTCCCTCGGTCTTCAGCCTCACTGCTAGTATAATTAGTCCGGATCGAGAGAAACGTGGTGCAAGTAAGAAGATATTGTTGTTTAAAACTATTGCTACGAACAGAAATCTAATAATATTTATACATCTCATGTATTGGATGTTTTATGACAGTTCTGTCTAACTGCGTCTTTGAAAATAATGATTTACTTGAATCTAGACATTTGGAAAATTTTAAATTGATAAGCAAACCGACTTATATTTAAAATAATTTATTAGCCAATAAATCATGAAATATAAACCATAATGTTTCCAATTTATAAATATTATTCATAATTACTTATATAGGACTATAATCCATGATGACTTGCATATAATTATCTTCTATAAAGAGTCGAATAGTCCACAATCATTGTCTCATGTCTTAGGCCACGACACATTTTCAACTATTCGAGAGCCGTTCGCGGCAGATCGCTAGGAACGCGTGCTCCCCGACAGTGAGATTGAATTTGTAATGTGTTTTAAGTCGCCCGATAAAACTATTCAGGATATTTGCAATGATTTAAAGCGAAGTTTCGTTGGAACTGCCAAACTGATCTAGCTACCAGCTAACAAACACTGACCTGAAATTTAGAAACTTAGATAAATCTGTTAGCTACTAGTACGTTGTTAGAATTACACGAAGTTGCTAGCTCGGTAAATTAAGCTGGAAATAAATTATGTGCTGAACAACTTTTTATGTAATTGATTTACAGCTAAAGGTAACTGGATTATGAAACTCACTCTATTATTTATTATCAGATTTTATTCAGTGTTTGTTTGTTATTATAAATTTCATTGATTTTTTCGTAAAGCAATATATAAAATATTTGAGATGGTTTTTCAAATATGATTGTTTCACGTCTTCAAAATCATCAAATATATTATAATATAATTGATAATATACTAAATAATTATCACGAGGAGAAGTGTTCAATAAATAAACAGTATCAAAGGATATTGAAAACAGAAAACAAGATAAAAACAGAACCTAATAGATGATACCCGAATAAACACGAGTGACAAGACATTAGAAACTGCTTTATTAATGTTAACATTTAGATGTGGAGCTTCTTAACACTTATCCTATAATTATACAAAGACGTACGTAATGTTGTTTTATGATTATTAACCACTAACTATAAGAATTTTTATATATAAAACGTTTTAACTGAAAATTTCTAAAGTAATCTAAGAAAGTTCTTCCACTTTCATAAGAGACGGTAAAGTATGGAAAATTTTTATTCTTTTTAACGAGGCGGATGCTCAGACTATACACTGTCCAAACTTTATATAAATGCTATAGACAGAGAAATCCTTTGGATATACGATTAGTGCGGAACAAGTTGAGCCGTTCGGCAGTTGGAAGTTTGTAAGTTCCTATAAAAATGCTGGCTGTACAGTTTAGCAATAAATAAAGAGATTCCTGCACTACTCGTTTATAACAAACGATATTTTAATCGTTACTTCGTTTGATACACGTTTTAAAGAGACTAAAGTATAATTGTATGAAATTGTGTATGCGTATGTATTCCAATGTTGTATGCCTTCAAAACTTCTGGTCGAACGAACAAAGAGGTCAGCGAATGTAATGAGATATGCTCCAAACGATTCTCTCATAATATATGAGGTCGGGAACTTTTGATATTAACTATGTATGACTTGTGAAATGTAAAGTTTGCTTAAGAAAGTCTACTGAGTATTGATATAGGAGTTTCCACTTTGTTTAAAAACAAGAAAAAACTTTGAGAATAAATTTAAATAAATTATAGAAATGTTGGAGAATTATCGCGTTGAAGCAGATGTCCTTCAAATTTTCTTTTCTTTATGTCAATTTAAATATTAAATTATGTACAGTTAAAGTAACTATATAGTTTTAAAATTATTTATTTTCTGTCGCATCGTAACAGCTACGTATAAAGCGACTTCGTAAACATTTAAAGCGCACTGCATTACCGACCAAATGCACTGAAATTTCTTTAAGTAACACTTATTTCTGTAACGCCTCGCGCTGTTTCTGCTCGGATCGCGTAATTTATCAAGATCTCCTGTTTGATTTAGATGCACCAGAAATTCATTTTATAATTCCTAAGCTACTGGATACGTCGCTACTGTAAACAAAAATAATTTATTAATATATTAGTATGATTTCTTTATATTATTATTTCAAGTATATAAAACATTGATTTAAATTTATGTAACAATATAGAAACTAAACTATATTGTTAATTATACATTTATTAGATAGCTTAATGATAGAATTAATGTTTGTTTTAGAAGAACTTTATTTTAAAACAATATTGTACTCAATCCGAAGACATCTAACATAGGAAATTTAATTAAAAACAGTATGTAATTCAATTGGTATAACGTTTTAGCTCAACCATACACATTATTCACTAGTCGTCTTATTTGTAAGCAACAGAATACTGCATAGATTCATTCTTCTTCATAAAGATGTTATACATTTTACCAACATATTATTTAATTAAGCTTACAAAATAAATTACTAAAATAATGAGAAATGCTTAAGATATCTTCATTATAGGTAACGATCTACATAAATAATGGTCTGAATTTTCGAAAAAGAAACAACGTTTTAAAAATAATTGAAATATGTTAATGAAAGTAAAGTATAAATAATAAGATTTTGGGTAAAACGTTACCTGTTATGGCAACGGATGAACAAAGCATAAAATCTAATTAACTCACCCACAAAACCTTGCAGTGTTCCAGGAATAAGTTCAATCAATTATCCTGCTCCGGCCAAGAAAGCATTTGCTCAGTAATATATGCCATTATGTTTGTAAATAAATGATGTCTAATAAATTATTGTATTAACAATAAAATACATACGATAGATATATATAAAATAGATACGAAGAAGAACAATAAGATATGTACGTGTCAGAAATATGTAAATGTAGTTGAATATTTTATACAATATAAGTGTTAAATCTATTGTAAAACTTATTTTATATGTAAATCACCAGAAATATGAATAAATTAAAAGAATGATACAAGGCTGGCGTCAAAAAATTGTGAATTTATCACTGATATATAGACAGACAGATGTCAATTACATGTTCTAAGATATATTTCTTATTTCCTTCCCATTTCATTAAAAGAAATATTTATATATATTCATTTAATATGAAGTAATTTAAAATTATGATTTTAACGATTTTTACACGCACTTCGAATATATGAAAAGTTTGTTCAAAAAACAACGCAGACAAAGTCGCGAGCATTCGTTAACAATATAATTATAATGGTGTAGACATTTAAAACGTGGCTGTCGCACGTGTTATATATTAAGTGAACCCTTGAAAAAAATAGGTAAAGAAATCTTAAAAATTAATTAACATGAAACCTTTAAACTGAAAGTTTAGTTTTTATATAAACTAACAACTTTTACAGATTTATTTATTTTTAAACTCCATATATGTGTAATTTGAGCTCGTGTAAATACTATTTGAATTAATTTTTATAAAAACAACTCATTCGTGTTCACGGTTATCTTTACAATAGCTATAATTTTTATTACTAGTTATTAATTTGAATTGAATACTGTAACTCCTATATTCTACTTATTAGTGAACCCGGGTACACTTGTTACAAATTTTTGTAATTTTTTAGAGTATATTTACAAGTACTATAGTATTCCCAAAGAAGGTTAATGTCAGGCAGGCGGCCGGTCGTAAAAACAATTAGACAAAACTATTCACAACGTGTAAGGCAGACCCTGGCTAATACTGGGAAATTGCCAGGTAGAAGATGTTTACAAGTAGATAGTATTTAGATTATCTATATGCAAGGATTGTAATTAATTGAAAAGAAGTAATAACACCACCAAAATTATGTTAAACGTTAAATAATTAGTGTAAACGAATAAAGAAACATTTTCCTTCCCATCTCATCGTACCTAACACACAATTACTTTTTAATGAAAGTAAGATTCAGTATAAGGAATACAAAATTTGTTTCCAAAAATTCAGTTTTATTTGAATAGTAGGTTGGAACTTAATCTATATGCTTCAATAAAACTAACCCTTGTAGGGATGATTTGATATCGGCTATCTTTATTCAATCATGGGCACCTTTCAATTCCATCCAGTGGAACGTGACCTGCTTACTAGACGTGTTGCAAACATTCAAAACTGTAAAATATCTACACGTCATTGACTGAACACGTTTCATAAATAGCTATAGATACTTTAAAAAAAATTATCTTGAAATAGTTTAGAGCTGCCAAAGATTGAAGATTAATGGCCAATTCTAATAGTCCAGACCAGTGGCGGCTGGTGGGTTATCGAACTGGTGGTGCACTTTAATAAAATATTAAAATTAGAAAATGCAACAAAAAACCAATTGACATAAAATATGTTTATTTTTTAAATATTAAATCAATGCGACGACATTTTTCTGAAGCGAAATGTTCAATCACCTTTTTATTAAAATCGGGTATTGTTTGTATAATTATTTTTTCAATACTAAGCATAGAAAGTGCATTTAGCAAGTGCATGGTATTTCGGAAAAAAGTTTTGATTCTTTTCAATTCCAATTCGTCATACATCGGGTGCTCTCGGTAACCTTCGGCCGCTCGTGCGGCGCTCGAGAACCGACTCATTACTCGGTACATTTCTATGAACTATCTTTTGTTTCACGCGTCAGGCGTTTTAGTTCGTATCTCATACAAGATGTATTAGCAATCCTCGTGCACTCGCCGAAGCGCACGAGATATTAGTTTAGTAAAGCGCACAAACTTTTTGACTATAAATAGAAATTTAATTTTTTATACGTTTTTGTATGTTTAGAAAATAAATATTAAAATGGTATAATTTAAAAATAAAGATGAAGTATTATTTTGTAATTTTTAAATCTTTTGAATTGGTGGTTCAGCGCACGAGTACACTTAAGGTACAGCCGCCACTGGTCCAGACTATAGTACAGTGCAAGTAAAAATATACGACAGATATAATAAGGTGGTGGAGCCTAGCTGTGGTTAAGTTACTGCAGCTCGAACATGGGCTGGATCGACCGAGGAAATAACAGACTCTTATATGTAGAAGATCGGAGTGAAGTAGTCTCATACGGCCGCGTGTAGTCAAATAAATTAACGATCCGGTTGCCCTATAACTTTTTCCACATTTTCCTTTTCGTGTTCCCAAAATAAGGGTGGCAACACATCCACAAAACTGTGTTTAGATTGTCCATGAGCGACGCTACTAACTCCATCAAGTAGGCTGTCTGTGGATTGGCCCATTTGTCATAAAAATAATAATAATATTCTTCAAAAGATATGAGAAACTTTCAATATGATATTAAAAACAATATTGGTGTTACAAATAAAAGTATACAAAAATAATTACTTTATTTTTTTAACAACGTTTTATTATGTAAGCATTACATTATTTATTGTCTTTGATCAATGTTACTGAAGGTGTTTTAATGTGTCTGTCAGCTGAACAAACTGCTGTTACAGTCACGACAGCTATAACACTAAAAAATAACAAAAATCCGTGACAAACAATTTATTATTAACTTTACGATATTTCTGTTGTTCATAACATTTAATACTGTAATTCAACTTACTTGAATGACATCAACCATAACATAATATCAAAGTTATATAATTTGATTAATATATTCTCAAAGTTCATTAACAGTAGTAAAAATAGGTTTTAATGGAAATAATAATGTATATCATTCATGTTTCGTTCCTAAATATTGCATTTAAATGCCTTTTCTCAATGAATTTTTACTCATTCAGTCCAGCCAAGAAGATTATTATCAATCTAACTTACTTCGGCGTCTTACATATTTTCACCTTACTCGTTCCGGGCACATAAGGAGTCGACGCATCCTATCTATTTATTTTATTCTTAAGCCCAACGATGCGTATATGAACACATGGAAGCTTGAAAGAAAGTCAGAAAAGGTTCAGCAAACATAGAATAAAAAACCCCGCCCACATCTTATAATACCAGTTAAGTTAGATATCATTTAACTTTTAGGATAAATCACAGATGATTTGCCTGATGCAACGACTTTTTGACCTTTCTAGTCACCCATTGCGATTTTCTTAGAAGTAACCTGGAATAAAAACCGATATTAAAAAATATATTCCTAATTACTTAAACAAAGATAATGATGGCTCAGTTTTGGTTCTCACCTGGATATCACTAAGAAACTTTATATTTACATTTTCCCCAACTATGGTGCTACATATTATATACAGCTTTCATAACTTAAAGGTCCAGTGAACAGAAAGTGCTCCAACATTTTTCTGGTATCTCTTAATCCCCCACCAATGAAATACGCTCAACTGAGCGGAAATGACTCATAAATGACAGGTGGTCTGTTATGAGATAAAGGCAATTGGCTCACCCTATGAGTGAAAATCACTTAAATACTGCTATTAGTCCTGCTTCTGAAAAAACGAGTTGCTCCAATCGAGATTGTGCATTTATTAGCTATCGTACTTCAGGTACATTTTATAACTTCCAACAATGACTTAACATTGATGCATACATAAAAAGTCTTCGAAATGATGTAAGCATGTTTGCAGCCCAACGGTTTATAGAATCTTTATGTCATCTCATAATTTATGTTTAACTTTAAAACCTTCGTCAAAAGAGAAACAATTCACTAATAATCTAATATTATACTAATGAAGAAAACATGTCATTGCGTCTTCGTTTCTCCATTCTATTTTCATATTATTAAAAAGATCATTAGTAGTTGCAATATTCGGAAACGTAACATTTAAAAAGAAAAAATATGAAATAATATATTCTAAACTAACTAAACCTCTTCGGTTGAATAATGTTTTTGTAACCTTTTAATTAATCTGAAGTGAAAATTAATATAAATACAATACAATACAAATACAGATAATTAATGATAAAAGTAAATCAGCGTAGAACAATGAATGTATAGATTTAGAACAAGTTCCTGAATTATTAATGTTATCACACCATTACAGGATTGAAGTAGCATTTTTAACTTTATACAATAAGGGGTAATCGTAGAAGTTGAATATAAGATACACTCAGGACGAGATAAAAATAATTCAAATGAATAAAACAGGAGAATTTCAGAGAATCAGTGTTTAAAACTACACAACGTCTCTAAACGTTCCATGCGATTTAAAGTTGCTGAGGTTCAATTACATATATAAAATAAAGGATGAAGACCAACTAACGCTGTTTAAAAACACTACTGGTTTGAACCACTTTTAACTTAAAATGGTTTATGAAAACCATAAAAGACAAACACAAAAAGAAAGAGAAATACGATAGCATGTGTGCTTTATTAAAAATCACAATTTTCAAATTCCCGAAACCTGTGATCTAATAAGAGAGAAATAAAATATATTAATAATAGAAATAAATATTACATGTGTAAATTTTAAATATAAGAAAAGTCAGAGTATGACTGAGGTTATATAATAAAACGTGTTTTTAAAATGAATGCTATAACTTCTATTGTTAAAATCGTCGTCATTTCTTTAATATTTATTCAATTTTTCACTTTCGCAAACATTGGTGGCTATATATTAAATTTATTACCATAACAAATTACAGAATACATTAGTACTGATAATGAAGACTGTAATAGGTAAGAATTATTTCATTAACAAAATAAAATATATACAGTTAATACCTTTTCATATACAATATTTTTCATTTGGCTATTTTAATTATTATGTCCGCGTTAGTAAAAAAACTTAAAAGATGTGCAATATGGAACTTAAATCCTATCTTATATGAGGAAAAGCTTACATGAACGAAAGCTTTTTCGATTTTTAATATAAAAGTTAAAGAATAAAACCAGTTCAAGTTTAATTAAATTTTAATTATAATTGAAATAAAAAAAGGTTTGTTTAATTTAATATTGCATAATTAATTCCAGGTCTACTGTTGATCTTAGCATCGATATGTTATTTGGATGCGAAAAGAATAAAGAAAAGGTCATGCATCTGTCCAGAATTATACAGTCCTGTATGTGGTACTGATGGAAATACTTATACGAATGAGTGTTTTTTTAACTGCACCAAAAATATACACAAAAAACCTGGATCTGACATATATATAGCCTATGAAGGAAAATGTAGTGACTCGTGTATGTGTAAAGATGACTACTCTCCGGTATGTGGCAGCGACGGCAAAACGTATCCTAACAGCTGTTACCTTAATTTTAAAAGTAAAGAAATAGAAAATGTCAGTAAAAATAACGGAGATGATTCTAATGAAAATAAATTAACAGAAGCATATAAAGGTGAATGTTCCGACGAATGTATTTGCACAGATGAATATGCACCAATTTGCGCTAACAACAATAAAACTTATTCGAATTCCTGCCAACTGAAGTGTGAGAATAAAAAAAGAAAAAATAATAATTTACCGCCTCTTATAGTTAAAAGTGAGGGTCAATGTCCCAAACCATGTATCTGCCAAGGAATGTATGAACCGATATGCGGGGACGACGGAAAAACTTATGCAAATATTTGTAGTTTAGGATGTATTAATAAAGAGAGACGAAACAATAATCTTCCACCAATAAGTAAAAGGAGTGATGGGAAATGTCCCAACATATGTAAATGTCCAAAAATATATAAACCTGTATGCGGAGATGATGGAAAAACATATCCAAGTAGTTGCAATTTAAAATGTGTAAACAAAGATAGAGAAGGAAACAAGCTGTCACCCATTAAAGAAGTAAGTAAGGGTGAGTGTCCAAAAGTATGTGTATGCCCCTTAATCTATTTACCTGTGTGCGGTTCTGACGGAGTAACTTATTCCAACGAATGTTTACTTAAATGTGCAAGTAATGACAACGAAAAGAAAAACTTACCACCTATAACTGTTGCAAATGAAACGTCATGTCCAGAGTCATGTCTCTGTCCATTAATCTATGAGCCAATATGCGGTGATGATGGTAATACATATTCCAGTAATTGTGAATTGAGATGTAAGAATAAAGAAAAAGAAAAGAGCAATCTGCCCCCTGTTAAAGAAGTAAGTAAGGGTGAATGTCCGGAAACATGTGTATGCCCTTTGATTTATTTACCTGTGTGCGGTTCTGATGGAGTAACTTATTCCAACGAATGTTTACTTAAATGTGCAAGTAATGACAACGAAAAGAAAAACTTACCACCTATAACTGTTGCAAATGAAACGTCATGCCCAGAGTCATGTCTCTGTCCATTAATCTATGAGCCAATATGCGGTGATGATGGTAATACATATTCCAGTAGTTGTGAATTAAGATGTAAGAATAAAGAAAGAGAAGCAAATAAAGAATTATCAATTAAAAAAGTCAGTGATGGGGAATGTGAGCCCATTTGTATATGTCCTGCAATTTACAAGCCAGTATGTGGTGATGACGGTAACACATATTCTAGTAGTTGTGATCTTGCATGTCTTAATAAGAAAAGGGAAAGAAACAATCAACTTCCAATTAAAGAAGTTAGTGAAGGAGAGTGCAATCCGTCCTGCGTGTGTCCCGCAATTTACAAACCACTTTGTGGTGATGACGGTCAAACATATTCTAGCAGTTGTAATCTAGGATGTATAAATAAGATCAGAGAAAAAAATAATCAAAGTCCAATTAAAAAAATCAGTGATGGGGAATGTGAACCCGTTTGTATATGTCCTGCAATTTACAAGCCAGTTTGTGGTGATGACGGTAACACATATTCTAGTAGTTGTGATCTTGAATGTCTTAATAAGAAAAGGGAAAGAAACAATCAAATTTTAATAACAAAAATTAGTGAAGGAGAATGCGAGGCTTCGTGTGTATGTCCTGCTCTTTACGATCCCGTGTGTGGTGATGATGGAAAAACATATTCAAGTAGTTGCAGTTTAAGCTGTACTAACAAAAAAAGAAAACGATTAAACCAGAATATCATTAATGAAGTTAGTAAAGGAGAATGTCCAATACCATGTATATGTCCAAGAATTTATAGTCCTGTATGTGGTGATAATGGTGAAACATATTCTAATAACTGTGAATTAGAATGTGAAAACAAAAAACGCCAAACTAAACAAGAATCACCAATAGCTGTGGTGAGTAAGGGAAAATGTCCGGAACCTTGCATTTGCCCAAAAATATTCGAACCTGTATGTGGTGATGACGGAATAACTTATTCAAGTAGTTGTGATTTAGATTGTGTTAATAGAGAAAAAGAAAGAAATAATGAACCAACCATCCTCGAAGCTTCCAAAGGTGAATGTCCAGATTCATGTATCTGTCCGTTAATAATTTCAGAGCCAGTTTGTGGAAGCGACTTCCAAACATATTCTAGTGAATGTGAATTAGACTGTGAAAATAAAAAAAGGATAGCAAAAGATGAATCACCCCTGTCTGTTATTAGCAAGGGTGAATGTCCAAAGGAATGTGCATGTCCTTTAATCGATCTTCCTGTGTGCGGTTCGGATGACGTCACATACTCTAATGAATGCTCACTTAACTGTACAAGCGCAGAGAATGTAAGAAAACGTTTACCTCCTATTACGGTGAAAAGCCAAGGAGAATGTGAAGAGTCATGCATATGTTTGACAATTTATGATCCCGTATGTGGTTCAGATGGTCTAACTTACTCCAATGAGTGTCAACTAGAATGTGAAAATAAAAAGCGTATCAAAAACTCCCTAGATAAAATAGATGTTGTAAAAAAAGGAGAATGTAACGGATCCTGCATCTGTCCTGCAGTTGTGGATCCAGTATGTGGCAGTGATGGACAAAGTTATCCCAATGAATGTCAATTAGTATGTGAGAGCGATGATTTGGTACGACAGGGACTATCAGCTTTAGAAGTTATCGAAAGAGATCTTTGTGAAGAGTCATGCGAATGTTATAACTCAATTATACCAGTTTGCGGATCAAATAACAAATCTTATAGAAATGCTTGCTATTTAGATTGTGCTAACAGAAACAGACGAGGCAATGAAACATCAATAACGATTAAATATAGTGGTGCATGCAGAAGTTGTACTTGCACTCGAGAACTTAACCAAGTGTGTGGTAGTGATGGGAACACGTATAACAATCCTTGTCTTTTAAATTGTGAAAGTGAAAGACTAAAAGGAATAGGAAAATCACCTCTGTTTATTATACACTATGGCGAGTGTCAGGGATGTGGATGTTCAAATGAATACGAACCTGTTTGTGGAACAGATAACAATACTTACACAAACTTATGTCAGTTACAGTGTGAAAGTAACATTAGACAACGTGAAAATGAGAATGAGATAGCTCTCCTCAGCCAAGGAAAATGCCCAAAGAATGATTATGATTGTGAAAATTGCCCTCTAACCTACCAACCAGTTTGTGGTACAGACCTTGTAAGCTATTGGAACGACTGCTGGTTTAAATGTAGTAATAAATGCAAAGTGAGTCGTGGAGAAAAACCTATTGAGTTGGCTAAAACTGGATGCTGCTAGTGTCTCATATATAAAATTGATTTATTTCTGTTTAGTCTTTGAAAAAAATATTTATTTGAAAATATATGTAGTAGTTTTGTTAAAATTTATTTGTTATTAAAGAATATGATTTTACTTATAATAAACATTGTGAGGTTTCAATGTTTTCTTATCCTCTTACATTAAAATGTTCTACAGTTTCATTATTTATCCTGTTTTGCATTTCTCATACACCTAAAAACTTTTTAAAATATTTGTAATAGAGTAGTTAACCTAGTAACGAAGTCTCATTACTGTATAATGCTTAGTCAAGAGTAGTCGTTAGTTACAATATACTTATCATCTTAGTCGCAATATCCTTTCTATCAATTAGTCATTAAATTTAAGTTGCTGTCTGCAAACTCATAGCCATGATTTTTGAATCTGTTAAATGAAATAAAAAATTTATTTCAAATTTCAAAATATGTTTATAGATAACATTTTTGGATTGTTATTCAAGGTGCTTTTACTGTAACTATTTCAAATGTACGTAACGGTATATGGATTGTCCCAAACATACATATGTTTGTATGTCTGGGACAATCTATATAATATATGTATCAGTAAGATATAATAAATAAAATATAATATATGCTTGAGTTCCATCCCTACCTGTCAGCCGTTGTCTACATAGTTACTCTTCTTTTGCTCGTATCATCTGTCAAAAATCGGTCCATCTTTTCTGTAACTTAACATATTTATTCCCAAATCATTCATGGGTCTTATAACATGTTAATATCATACTAATCTTTGACTACTTATTTTTCATCACTGGTTTATAAAAAATCCTACGATATAATCATTAGCAATTTCGTAAATTCGTACCACTTTAAACTCAGGCTCTCAACAGCCTTATTTATGCCTCATGAAGTTGTATCTCTTCCCTTTGATTGCTTGATTCTCAGAACCATTAGGACAGTTTTGGTGATAGTTTTGTATATTTCTACTTGAATGATATCTAAGACCTTCGTAAATACACATTTAAATAAAACTTTAAATTTACTTGTCAAATTTAATATTTAGTTTTATTAGAAGTTTAGAATATATTAACCAAACACTTACATTTCATCTTCCCATAATCACAGTTACTGTAAAGTAGCCGAAACATTGAGTTAAATATTGAAATGATATCGAACCTCAAAACCACATATTAAATTTATTGTTCCCAATTTTTTTTATTTAATCTTCTAGGATGATTTTTAAATTTTTAACTACTCAGCTTATTGTATTTAATTCAGATATAGTGTTTATTAATTGCACATGAAAAATTTTAAGTAAATAATTAGTTAAACTCTTTTACGATAAATTTCATATCATGTGATAAATATTTAAATAAATTGAAATTGACCTAAAAAGAATTGACTTACAGACAATAATAATAAAAATAATACACATTTGTTTTGGAGGACATATAACTATAATATTTTGTTAAATAAAAATTAAATGTAGCTTTGAGGCCAGATCTTATAAAATGTCAGATCTATATATTATTTGAATTTTAATTTAATAACTAGTCTACATAGTTTGCTTCAATATTTAAAACATAATATATACTTTTTATATTTCCATAACTCGAAAGACATTAGATCTTTTCCACCTTTATACTTTGTTTCCCATTTTATTTAGAATATAAATATATTTATGAAAACCGTTCTAATAATTTCGTTCTTAAGTGTACGATATTTTTAAAATATTCGATAACAAGACACAATTCAGCAAACCTGTTACCTTATCAAAAATTTCTTTTCGTTAATTTGTATCATTGTTTCTATAAATAACGAGTATTTTTTAAACATGAAGAGAATACAGAATTAATTGTTAATATGAAGAACAAAATATGTGAGTATTAAGAAAATTTATAATTAAAAATAATATGAAATAAATATTTTAATTATTTTAATTATTTTTAGGGATTCTGACTATAACTTTATTGATCCAAAGTTTTAAATCGAGAGCAGAAAGGGGTGTTATAACTGTTAAAAAAGTTACTATAAGCCTTCCAGAAGTATGTCCCTGTGAATACAATTATAAACCAGTCTGCGGGACTGATGGAGTATCATTTATTAATAAATGTCTTCTTGATTGTACGAATGATAGAAACGCCCTTCTGACCCATGGATTGCCACATATTTCAATCGCCCCTGACGATCAATGTACTGGATGTGTATGTCTGAATCTCAACCTTCCCGTCTGCACATTAAACGGAGTGACTTACAACGGTGAATGTGAATTAGCCTGTGAAAATAGAAATCGTATTCGTGATAATCAACCACTTGTTTACCTCGCATATAGAGCGGCTTGTAAGGGACCACCATGTTCTTGCAGCACCGTTGCGGCTCCAGTTTGCGGTAGTGACAATATTTTGTATAGAAATCTATGTGTTCTTGAATGCGCTAGCGCCAACGCTCAGGCCAAAAATCTTCCTGCAATCGAATTCCAAAATTATGGAGCCTGTCTAGACAGTTGCCGCTGCCCAGAAACAGTGGAACCTGTTTGTGGCACAGATGGAAGGATTTATGATAACCTTTGCACTTTTGAATGCCAAAATAAAAAACTATCTTCCTCTCAAAACGAACCCCTTAAAATTGCTAACCCATTTACTTGTAGGGAATGCGCGTGTAGAAAAGTATTTGAACCGATTTGTGGTACCGATGGTAGAACGTATCCCAATAAGTGTGAAATTCAGTGTGCTTCATTTAGAAAGAGGGATCCTTTCCTCCAGATAGCCTCTCAAGGACCATGTGCCAAATGTTTCTGTAAAGACGACTTCTATCCAGTTTGCGGCACTGATCACAAGACATACAAAAATGATTGTGAGCTTCGATGTGCAAACAATAATCTTTCAGCAGGTGAACAATTGATTAGTATATTTTATCCAGGGCAATGCATGGAATATGAATGTGATTGTAATTGTGACTCGGAGTACGAGCCCGTGTGTGGGAGCGACAACAGGTCCTATTGGAATTTATGCTACCTGAACTGTAACAGTGTCTGCAGACAAAGACAAAAACTATCAGCAATACTGTTTGTGTCCAAGGGCGTCTGTACGTTTTAACCACAATACTTATTTTGTATTATTATAGTCCAAAGCAACCGTAACATCTAAGCATGCTTTAGATGATCAAAAGAAATTACCTTATTTTATTCAAAATTATAAAATGAGTGTTTTTCGAATAAATGTTACATAAAATAACTTTTTTTCCTTACCATAATGGAAAAAAATTAACAAATAAATAAAATCTAATAAAATACAATAACAAAGACTGTGAATAATTTAAATTTGTATCGAAACTCGAGGACACTTTCCCATTTGGCCAAAACTTGGTTGAATGAAACAAATTTAATTACAAATTGCGGAACAAACTGCTTAAGTACCTTAAAACTCGTTAATTCCGTTTGGAAGATCCTCTAAGTTTTAATTTTAAGACCCCAAGCAAAACTTGGCGGCGGCAAAAAAGTATTATTTTGACCTAAACATTAAATAAGAGGATTAAACTAAATATAGAGTATAAAATTCAGTACTGTGTATTGATAATAGTATCAAAAGAGTATACTAGCAGGTACACATAAATAAAAAGGTTTTACATTTTTATAGTAGTAACGCCTTTAAAATATAATAGCAATACTTCATTCAGTATATACTGGATATTAAAAAATGTTATATGCAGGATATATATAGAAGACCCAGGATAACGATTTTTTTTTATACTTTGCATCTATAGAAGTGCTATTTTCACTTCCTTAGATTCATGAAAAATTTCTTACATGAAGAAAGCAGTACATTATAAATGGTATAACATCATTTCACGCTATTTTATTTTTACAATTTAAAACTTCATGATTGCCTTCATACCTTTCATAGTCAATAATAAAGAAAGAGTTGATATTAAAACAATTATTAAGCACGTGTTGCTTAACCAAAAAAAATGCAATCAGTATAAATGTATACCAATTGTATAATAGTAAAATTTATTTTAATCAAACTCAGAGTGAACAAATAAGATTACTAATTAGATGTATTGCATCATCAAGATGTGGATTACAATATATTATGAACTAATATTTATAATATTTGTTATTTGTGACAATGAAGACATTAAAACAAGTCGGACTGTTGTGCTCGACTACTCAGATCTCGCTCAGGAGGCTGAGAGTAATAAACATAATATACTTAAATTTTTGAACCAAACAAGAGTTCAATTGAAATATAAAACTCAATTTAATAGATTACTTCATAAATTACAAGGTAAAGTATCCATATTAAATATTTCCTAAATGAAAATCTGTTCATCTTTGTCTTATTTGTTAATTAAATAAAATTTTACTATGATTTTCTTGCAGCTACCTCAAATACATCAAGAAGAGGTAAGAGTCATGAAAGTACTATTTACAAAAATAATGCTGTTATATCTATATACATATATAAAAGAAAGTCATGTTACTTACATTATTATAATATGTATAACGGCTGTTCGAATTTGGCTGGAAATTTATAAGAGAGTAGCTTGGATTATGGAGACGGACATTGGATACTTTTGAATTCATTCATTCAACTAAAAAGAATTGCAAAAATTTAGAGTCTAAATCGAAAGAGTTCGCCCTGTCAGCTATATACTTTTAATTATGAAAATAACGCGGACAAAGTCGCGGGCAAAAGTTTGTAAAATCTATATGTATTGCAGGTCCAACACGTAGAATAGTGGCTGGTGTTAATACATCGATAGCTGCGGTTCCCTGGCAAGTCTCTTTGAGAGAGAAGACGTATCCCATATGTGGAGGTTCAGTGGTTACTTCATTGTGGCTACTCACAGCGGCACACTGCCTCTTACGGTAAAATATAATTAACATTTTATATAAAAACAATGTTACGATTAAAAGTTACCTGAGATCTTTGTAAATATTGCACTGTGTAAGATACAATCGAAGTGAACGAGAGGGTATATTGTCCTGAAGTATGTAGGAATGTAACCTAAATATGGCACATGCCCAATAATTTTTTTAAAATCTCATTCAGAAGCGAAACAAGTAATTTTTTATACTTTTATATTGTGAATATATTCTCGCCGGTGATTTCAACGTAACCATAAAAAGTATGTTCGAGAACACTCGAAACTTTTCTCTTTCTTGAAGTAGTTTTCAATTTACTGTGTAGCAAACTTTCTATTTGGTGGAAAAACTCTATCACACAAAAGACCTTACGGGACCATAGTGATGCAACTTTTTGTATTGCTTATATAGAAATAAAAATACGGCTTAAAGTAAGACCGGTTGTAATATAATAGAAGGTTCTAAGTCATATACATAAGCTTATTCAAATATACGCCGTCCTTGGAGCACACGTTCCGTGTAATCTTATTGTAGATCAACTTCATGTGGACACGCTTCATAAATGCCAAGTGCCCCGAGCTTTGTCCCTCTCGTGAATTTAAGCAAACATACTTTTTACGGCTCGCCCCAAGTGAATTGCAGCCTTCCACAATTTCAATTTATCCTCGAGGGGTGAATTGTATTTTTTCCGATGCAAAACAGCGATCGCCTCTAGCGTAGGAACATGTAATATATTTTTTCGAGTCCAATGTAGGTTGGTTCGACTCTTTACGATGGCTCTAAAGAAATTTATTATCGCATACTTGGAAAACGATACATTTTCTGCGAATGGTGAGCTTGTTTCGAGGCAATGGGATATCTTTAGGATATTAAGAACATCTGTTTTCTTTAAATGGTATTGTGTGTCAAGTTGAAAGAAGTATTTATCAGTTGGGTGTTTTTTTCTCGCGGCAGAATGAGACTCAGTTTATAGTGAGGAGCTGTTTCTGTTTCCATGAATATTGTTTTATATTCCCTGATTCGGATATTTCTTTTTATCTGGTTTATCACTCATTATAGATATTGAAAAGTAATTATAGAATTAGATTTAACTATAAGCTTTAACTTTGAATTGTGTTCGATTGACTTTAAAACTTTTATACATAAATTATATTACTAATTTAGGAAGAGCTGCATTCTTCTATCATTATAATCAAGCATCAATTTAAAAAAATATAGCAATTTTTTTAACCTTTAACACAATCAATAATCGTTTACTGTTAATCAGTTGATTGTATGATGTCATCTCTGGAGTTAAGAAAAACAGATCAAAATTATTTAGGTATTTATTTATGAGACAAAATAAAATAGAATAACTATCATAAATTTTATACAGTTCATGTGCCGTTTCAAATATTTAAATGAAAGACAGAATGCGTGTGTGTAAGTGTAATAATATTAAGCAATAATAAATGAGAAATGTACCTTCGATTTGACACTATGAACTTTGTTACTTCCCTAATTTTTCCATTGCACATAATGTTAAGATTAGCCTGAGTTTCTTCAAATTTTTTAATATTACCTTAATCGTGATGTATTTTTAGCAGCACATATAGATGACGAATGTGCTTCTTAAAACTAAATTGTGATCGTAATAAAAGTACACTCATTATACCGGCTCATTTATTATCTTCAAATACTTTATCCCTTCAAACTTTAAGGGTTAGTTATATTTACTTGCTTAACTCTAAACATATTTATAATATAAATATGTAACAAAACATTTAGTCGGAAACAATTTAGGAACTTACTTCTTTAATGGAATTTTATTTCAATCAAATATCAAGTTTTCTTCTATAGAAAATTATCTCCATATTTTTATTTATGTTTACGGCCTGCTATAAAAAGTATCGATACATTCTTTGCCATATTGTTACAGAATTTAGAATATATCAATCAAATATCAAATAAGTTGGTTGAAATTAAAAAAGTGTTAATATAATATTGTAGGCCACGTGCCAGTGAGTTAAGTGTTCGTCTCGGTTCCTCGTGGAAGACTCATGGTGGTGAGATGTATGATGTCAAACAGTCCTATGTCCACCCTCAATATGCGAGGAACACAAAAGTAAACGACGTCGGCCTCATCAAACTTTACTCTCCACTGAGATTTTCTTCACGAGTTCTTCCTATTAAGATGGTGGGGAAGGGAAATCGCTTGCCGGCCGACCAAGCTGCTGTGGTCTCTGGATGGGGAAAGTTAAAGGTTTAATAAGAATATTATATATTTTTCGCTCTTTATATTTTCTGTATGCTAACTCTTATATTAAATGCAATTAGGAAGGCGGTCCCAGTGCTACATTTCTTCAATCTTCCACTATAAAAACAATTGCGATGAAACTCTGTCGGAATTCCGGCTTAGACAGGAACCCTATAGATCCAGGGTCCATGTTCTGTGCAGGAGCCTTCAGTCAGCCCTCGCCTGATGCTTGCCAGGTACATAACATAAAACACCGGTTCCTCATCATAATTTTCATCATCATCATCAGCCTATCAGAACCCACTACTCAGCAAAGGCTTTTTTCTCACATAGAAAAGGCTTGAGCATTAAATTAAACTCATATTTTCGGTTTACTATTCGTATTTCATTATTTTTAAAACCTACATACTCCTGACGTTTCGTATACTTTTGCAGCAATATAATCTAACCTGATCGACACGTTGGGAGAATAGTTTTTAAAATTTATAAAATACGCGTAGCAATCTGAAAATACATATAATTCTCATTTGAATGATTACTCTTTAAAGTTTTAGATCACTTCATAAAACTGGTTGCTCATATCTAAAAAACCGTTATCGGTTTCTAATGATAAGTATCATTTTCAACAACTAAATTTCATCCATATAATTCTATAATAAATGAGTTTAATACTAATCTCTTTACATCCAGGGTGACAGTGGTGGTCCTATAGTAAGTGAGGGTATGTTGATCGGCGTGGTATCCTGGGGTCTTGGCTGCGCTCGTGGCAACTTCCCCGGCGTTTACACTCGACTCTCAGCCCCTGTGATATGGGACTGGGTCCATGAACACATCTCACAAGACTCATAATACAACACATCAGTCAAAAATATGAGTCAGAGCAATCAATCAATCTATGGAAGAGGAAGAGACAATATTTTGATTTGAAAATATTTTTTGAGCCTTCTATTCTTAGAATACAAAATTTTATATCTAAAGCCAATATTACCTTAATCTGTATAAACTATTATTCGTGTTAATATTGTTATTGAAAATAAATTATTCTATAAAATTTGTTTTCAAAACGAATTCTTTCATTTTATAGTTGTTGAGAATTTATGACGTTTAAAGTGAAGATCTAATCAATAATTACTCGTACACAACCAACCAGAGGTCGAAGTTTGAATTATAATTTATAATTATGAATAATATTGCATACTCAATTGATAAACCAATTTTTCTTGATCTTTCAATTACATTTTTTAACTGTATTACAATCAATTTCAATTACTTTCGATAATTTTAAAAAATTAACTTTTATTACAGGATTCTGAAAAGTAAAAACATCTTGTAATGTTTGTTTTAAAACATGTCAAAGTGAAACAAAAATTTGCGTCACGGTTATATGTTTGGTTAAATTTAAATAGATGGCAGCACTATACCTTTTTAGATCGATGTCACGACTAAGATTGTCAACGCTTCTGTATGTAATTATGATTACTTCAAAAATAAAGTGTTCATCAAATTAATGAATTTGAGTGTATAAATTAATTATACACCTAAAATTTTTTATATATTATAGCAGAAACCATAGATTATAATGAAATGTAAAAAAATCCATATTATAATATTTAATGTTGCAACAAATTGTCAAACATTTTAATTTATGTCTTCTTTCATTAATATTATCATTTCAATGGAAAAAAAATAAAATTTTATCTTAATTTATATCTACGAATTGTATTTTTAAAATTAAATAAAAACCATTTTTATAGTAACATTATATTTTTATAAACAAATTATTACAATGTTGTGCCGTCAGCGAATAATTATTTCTAACATTGTCTATACATACAACTTTTAAATTTAAATAATCTTTCTTACATATCTACAACTAATTAACTTTAAGCAATGCAGGATGCATAACACTTGTTTCCATAACACTTGTTTCCATGGTTTAAATACAAATGGATGATTTAATTTTTTGTTCATAAATCTCACCAAGTAATCTAAGTAACTGTCTCAATGAAGTTTAACGTTCCGAACTTGTGGTAAGGATGCTGACTTTTGTATGATAATATTCAAAATATTTAACAAATTATAAATCTTAATCACTCTTTGACTCTTCTTCTACCTGGCAATTTCCCAGTTTTAGCCAGGGTCTGCCTTACGTGTTGTAAATAGTTTTGGCTAATTGTTTTTACGACCGGCCGCCTGCCTGACATCAACCCTCTTTGGGAATACATTAATCAGTGATATCTAAATACTCTTAGAAAGTACATATGACTAGAAAAATCATATTGGTACTTGCCCGGGCCAGGATCGAAGCCGCGCCCTCATGCATGGGAGGCGGGCCATTTAACCACTAGGCCACCATTGACTTTACTTAATAACTCTTCGACTGTGGACTCATATAATTAACATATAAAGGTTTTAAAATGTTCAACTTATATAACTTCCAACACAACATATTCATTACATATATATAATTATATCTATATATATTGTATTTTAATCTATTATTTAATTCTTCTAAGAGGAAAAGCATCATGTCATTAATATTGCTTTTAGTCAAATTCCTTCTGTCATAATTCTTTCGTAAAAAACATTCTTTTTTCGTGACTTAAAACCTCATATAGGCCATTTGGAGTGATTCCAAAATTCCAGTATAGATGCATTACTATAACAAATCAACTTTTATTATATATTAAATACAATAATAACATATTTTACCACTGACTGACTGACTTACTGAACAACTTTACTAATGTACATACTTATTTTAGCCGACATCTTACAATATAACAAAACTTTATACTCCTACTAAAGATAATTTATTTTAGTGTTTTATGTACATAGGTTGTGATTCGATGTTCTCATAAAAATATGATTTTTTATACATTTGTAATAAATAACAAATATTTAGTGGTTTCAATTGAAATAAACTAACTCTTTAAAATGAAATAAACAAGCTATTTAATAATTAACTATACATTTTGTTTAACTATATGTAGTAATAAATAATTCTATTAGTTTTTTTTTTTCATTTCTATATTTAGATACATAAATCTAAATTATTACCCTTATAACGCGTACTACTGTTAACGAAAACTATCAAACTATTAGTAAAGACTATCAAAACGTAAACATTTTAAGTTAAGATAAAGGCATAGCAAAACAACACAACCAAATGATCATTTACAACACGTGTTTGGAAAAAACCAAAACATATTTTGTCCATGAAAATTTTTATCAGGTACAGTGCACCACACGTCCATTATCCATAAAATTGTGCAGACGAATATATCCTCAAATTATATTATCACAAAAAGCACATTTCCTTAATATAGTTGAAAGTTTTCAAAGTTCTCTGACAGATCAGTGAACACTCAAGTATTTACACAGACGTCAAAGCAGTCCGATTATAGTAAGAGTCATTAGAAGGCCGGCAAACTTAGCACGGCCTTGACTGGCCTACGTTTTCTTTGCCTGCTGAGGTCTCCTTAATAGATGAAGAGGATCTCTCCTGTACCTCGCGTACAGTTCCCGTTTAAAGGTCTCAAAATGTTTCCTGTTCTTCTGGTTTTGCTTTTCCCTCCACAGAGGTCTAGTCCGACGCGCCTGCAGACCCCAGTGGATGGTGAAGATTGGAGACAGGACTTTAAACTCGTATCCGATAAGAAACATCTCGTATACCTGACAAATAAAAATATTATATTATATTATAATACCAGACAGTTGTTTAAGAAATCTTCAAAGATTAAAAGTTTAAAACAATTTATAACTCCGACGAATTAAATGATACAAACTTTTATATTTGGCCTCTTATTTTTTTTATTTAAAAACCCAATTTACGATTAAAAGGAAAAACCAAGCATTTTCGTGACCAAAACTCTCAATTGAGTTTTTCTGATTTTATACAAATAAAAGTAACAGCTTTACCGCAGTTCAATAAAAATAAAGTTACCCCTAACCACTATATATTAAACACTATTCCAATTCAAGGCTATACAAGCTAAATAAATGCAATATCTAGCCAAGCCACAATTGTATTACGTACTCGCCACAAATAAGGCCCGAATAAACTCAACTCCATATATCATTTAAATTCATTCGATTCATACACAAATTAAAATGAATTACAGATCTGCGGCTCGAAGCCACATAATACTCAAATATTCAATTACGAATAATCAAAACGTATTTATTATAGAAACATGAAATTATAATAAAGGAAATTATCTGTATTATTCTACGATATAAAAAAAACAATCTTTATATATAATAGTTTATTTTAAAACGTAACAATATACAAAAGTATGACGTAAAATATTTATGATCTTGTAGTTAAACGAAGACTTATTTATTTCACATTAGATGTAGAGGAATATATGTCTTGTTGTATGGTAATAGAGTTGTTATTTGCTTAAACTCCAGTGTTCTGTGTGACCCAGTCCCGTAGAGCAGCTATGTTGCTGAACACAGTCGGTGACAGCGGCAGAGCACAGCCCCGAGCGAATGACACGATACCAAAAGCCGTTCCACGAAACACAGCTGGCCCTCCGGAATCACCCTACAGTTAGTATGTAACGGAATAAAGACCAAGCGAGCAATGTCATAAGTATAACTCATTTCTGACTCAAAGGCTACGAAAGCACAAAAAATTTACATATATGTATAAGCTCAATAAATTGGTAAACAGAAGAAGAAGACATATACTTTATTGCACTCAAAATCATAGAAAATAACATTACATATAAATACAGAAAATTGAAGGCAAGGGCGGCCTAACAGAGTATTTCTTACTCAAATTATGTTATGATATGGGATTCAATTTCGATATCACAGTATGTTATAGTCTTTTATTTTACCTGACACGATGAAACTCCTCCTATAAGGAAGTGTCCTCCACAAAACATGTTACTAGTGAGAGCGTCTCCATAAGATAGTCGACAGAGCCAGTGAGGGACTACTGGCACGTTGGCCTCCATCATGATCCTGGGAATTCTACGGCCTCCCAACTAAAAAACATAGTTTCTATTTTGTAATAACAAGATCATTCAAAGATATTTGATGTATTTTGTTTTCTACATATTTGACGTCTGACAGACGGTGAAGGAAAACGTCGTGATGAAACTTGGAGTAATAATTTCAAATTATAAGTTTGAAATCACCCATCTTGAGCAAGCGTGATGATTAATGCTAAAACCTTCTCCATGTGAGGAGAGGCCTTGGCTCAGCAATGAGCTCTGATAGGCTGATGATGATCATCTAGTTATTTTTATTGTCTCAATATTATCACAGAATTATAAAAGCTGGCAACAGATGATAAATCTAAATATAATTGAAATGAAACTAACAGCAGTGAGACCCCATCCAGTAACCGTCAACCTGACCAATGGAACAGGCTGTCTTGGTCTCGGAAGTCTGATTGGTTGTATGGAATCTCCGAAGACGAGAGGCTGGGCGAGTCTTAAGGCTGCTATATCATTGTCGAACTGCGGCTGACCGTACGACGCGTGCCATGTTACATTGGACACCGCCACTATACGACCTCCAGAATCACGACGAGTGCTGCCCACACGCAGACGAACAGCTTGCGGTGCTACACTTTATGTATATATAATATTTATCAATCACATTTCATATCTCAACTTATATCAGTTATCTTAGCTGTACCTACTTCTGAACACAATGTGCCGCTGTTAGTACGTAATCCCTGCTTATAATGAAGCCACCACAGAAGGAGTTTCCATTCAGCACCATGGATACTTGATATGGATGTCGCGACACTGAACTCGGTCTGCCTCCGATGATCTGTCCACTAAGCTCGGGACAAGCCGCCTCCAGTTCGATATCTTGAACTTCATCTTCAGTCGCTTCTGTATTTTGATTGTCAACCGCCTCTTGTAAATCTAATGTTATGAGCAAAAATTAATGAAAATATTTTAGAGAAATACATTCTATTATTATGAAAATAAAGAAAATTTTACTTACTCGCAAACGGTATTAGACAAAGAACAAGCCAAAGTAGATGGCGAGTCATTGCAGGTAACTAATTAACTAAGAGGCTGGTGCAACTGTTGTCGAAGCACTAAATCATTGCAAAATAGGAATTTCTCGCTGCCAGGGTCACGACCTCACCGAGTTCACGACTTTCGTACTATTTTTTAAAGCATTTAAAATCAATAAATTCGTTGCAAGGTTCTCACGTAAAAGATTTTTATTCACTAAATCGAATAAGATAGAAAATATTGCGATGCAATAATATAAACATTGCAAAGAGAAACTAAGTGTTTTATTGTAATGCAATGAAATGTAAAAATGTTTTAAGTTGGGTAACTTCGCTGGTGAGAGTCGTATAAATTACTTGAGTTGCCTGTCTCTTTATTACTCATATAATTAATTTTTTGTACATTTCATTCTTAATACATATAAGTCGAGTTAAACGGGTATTCAGTTACATGTAAACAACACATTAACGTAATATTTTCTATAAATAGTCCACAGCTGATAGTGTTCGTGTGGACCACTGTTCAAATACACGCTGACGTCACTTTTCACACGTTTCTAATATAAATAGATCAGCTTACAGTAGACGACCAACGCTTCAAGACATGTTGTCGGACACAATACTATTGGTCAACCATCAAATATTACTTGGTTCATTGATTTGTGTTATAAGTTATCATAAGATAGAGTTACATGTGATTTTTATAGCTATCTGTAGGTTTTTAGTCTTATAACATGTTTTAAAATACAATATTTAGGGAATAAAAGTCCCTAGTTGTCAAGAGAAATATTGTTATTTATTGTTATTCAATGTATTTATAACATTGAACGATTCACCAAAAACAGTATCGAAGCGGAACATGAAAGTAGTGAGTAAAGTGCTATAGAATCATATTTTTTTACTATCTCCATCTGTAACTATGTTTTCAAACATTCCGAAATAGACTTTTTTTGGATTTTGAAACAAATTAAATAGATACAATTTTCTCTTTCTGTTAATCATTGAAAAATCAGACTCTACATACATTATTTTAAATATAAGAAATAGAAAAAAATAATTAAAAACTCAAGTATACCCTTATATTCGATAAAATCAATACTCGCATAAAACTATTTCGAAACATTTTCATATATTCTTCTTATACTGAATCTAAAACACTTACACTATAAGGAAATTAAGGCTGAGCTCTGATTCCATGCCATAATTTTAAGTAGTTTAAAGTATAACATTCAAAAATCTTTGCTCACAACAACCAAATATAAGTATAGCAATTAGTACTTACATTAAAAACTTGTCGTAAAGAAAATTATCGGGATTATACTGTAATAACATCGAAAAGTGTCATAGTTAGCGGAGTACTACATATATCATCATATATTCAGCTATTAAGTGCGAGAGACACTTATAATCAACATTGCTAATAATTAATATACTAGCAATATAATCTAGGTGTAATTAAAAGAAAGAAAACTGGGGGCACTTGTTAAATATTACAAAAAGCATAACATATTTCGCATACACTATAAGCATAGTTCTTAGAGACTTTTGTTGACTGTACCAAATAGTTTATCAACACAATTTTACCATCAGTATGCTTAAATCAAATTAACATCACACTACATACAAAACGTTCTTCGTTACTCTATACTCTAGTACAAGATTTATGAATGAAAACTGCTAATACTTTGTACGTAGTGTTTCATTCCTTACTCGTGGTAAGCATACAAATACGCTTTAAATCACATTAAGTTTGAAAGAATAAAAATAATTCATAATGATATATCTGTTTTCTCCACAGGGTGTGATACATTCGTTCTACAAATATAAATTATAATCTACCAGAGATTTATATCACCGTAAGAGATTTGATACATTTAACTTAATATAAATGGGACAGAAAAATATGTTAGTTTCTTCCCTCCTCTCCATATAACTGTGGAGACTATATGCGGGCTTTGATCTTGAGTAAACATGTGAAGGTTGAAAAAGATAATATTGTACTTATTTACTTTGACTTATATCAACCTTATATATAAAGAATCTGGTTTGCAAAATATTTTTTTATATTATATCTTCTACCTGGCAATTTCCCAGCTATAGCCAGGGTCTGCCTTACATGTTGTGAATAGTTTTTGGCTATTTGTTTTTACGACCGGCCGCCTGCCTGACAACGACCCTCTTTAGGGAATCAACATTAATCAGTGATGTCTAAATATTCTTAGAAAGTACATATGATTCAGAAAAATCACATCAGTACTTGCCTGGGCCAGGATCGAACCCGCGCCCTCGGCGACGAGAGGCGGGCCCTTTAACCACTGAGCCACCACTGACTTTTTTTTATATTATATGTTATAAAAATATCCAAATGGTCAAGAAATAAAAACGAAATAAATTCTTTGACTGTTGGAGTTGTTCTTAACGGTACATTTCAATAAATGAAATCAGAGTGTCTGTTTGTAATTTCAAAATATCTTTCCAGTAAGCAAATATGAAAGTATATACGAGGCTTATATAATTTGTAATATTTTTGTCAGTCTATGTGTTTGTTTCATCTCGTTTCTACCGTCTAGACATAAGTAATGTCATAAGGAGTAACTCAAGCAAAATTAAAATCGACTCCAATAAAGGAAGTTTTTAAATCGACTAAATGTTTATTTATCTTCTTTATTTAGAGACCGATTTTCTAAATTACTATATTCCTCAAAACGCTAGTTTTCTTAAATAGTGAAACTATCACCGGTTCTTTAACCGATTAAGGTTTCTTTGAAACATCGTATGACATCTCAAAATGATGACAGGGCTTATCTTAAATGTAGTTCAATATTCAGACAAACCCGCAGTCAATAGTTAGTCTACAATACGGTTTTACGGATAAAACAATCTGTTTTCTTAGCAACCAAATGTAGGAACAACAAATTCGTAGAAATCCCCTCTAAAACTCATCCGACAAACCAAATTTTTATAATAATTTCATTATCAAAATAAATACTAAATATTTAATTAAATTAGAATGAACAAAATAAAACGTGGACAGAACTTGAAAAATTTATAATAGAACACAAATATTGACAGGAAATTATTGAATGAATTAATTTAAAACCAAAATCTTAGAAATAATTGTTTAAAGGAAAACTGTCCGGAAAACTCATCAGCGTTTAATTATTACAAATCTTTTGAATCCTCTACTGTCTATAAGAAATAAAGAAGATCCAAGATTAGCTTAGTTAGTTATCCTCTCAACGATCCAGCCAGATCTAAGGAAGGTAAATTTACAAAAGATTTCCGAAGTAAATTCGCGACAGATGGATTGGCACAAACTCACGTATTATTTTTAGTATAGTACCAACCAACCGCTGTTGGACGAAAAATATAATTATAACGCCTCCGACATACCACGTTTTATGATATTCCTAAACTTTTACGACTTTTAAAAACGAATTCGACACAAATATTGTTAGGTTTCTTTACCAAATACATTTTAAAATTATTATTGTAGCACAATTCGTCATTAGTTCCAGCTAGGGATGTTGAAATGTTATCGATAAATAATATTCTATAAATTAAACTATCGATATAATTACTAGTGATTCATCGACCTTCACCCGTCGCCGGCCGAGCGTGTCATAACACGATCTAGAGATTGACCTTACAATAACCTAATTAAAATCAACAAACCGAATGGATTGAGTTAGTTGTTTGTAACGAGAATAAACTACCAATCGGCTATCACAAACATATCACACGTTTAATAACGATTATTTGGCTAATAATTAAAAGTCTTTTCGAATAAGTTCATTAATATTTCAAATAATAATGATCTAATTTAAACTTCTCAATTCTTCATCAGTACAAAAGTGGAACACCAACGAACCAACGCCACCCGGAGAATCTAGTTACTCTTATTTGTAGCAATATTGTCTCAACGTAAACAATTAGAACATCGGGACACAAATATTTCTTGAGAAAACGGATTAAAAGTTTCTCTTCGGAGTTATCGTAATGATTAAAGCAATAAAAACCCTTAACACGCCATTCTAAAAATGATTTATCTATACTACGCTGTCCATTGTTAATTCTTTTTATTATAAAACAGTTGCATGCACTATATTCATGTAAATAAGCACTGCATACTTTGCATATAAAACAGGAGGACTTATATTATTATATTATCACTAATATATACAAGTATTCACAGTGGCGGCGTAAGGCGTGGGCGACGTGGGCCATCGCCTACGGCCTCGCGGTACAAGGGGCCTCGCGCCTTAAAAATTTCAGAGAATTAAAAAAAAAATATCTTCTTCTTCTTCCTAGGAATTTCCCAGCTATAGCCAGGGTCTGCCTTACGTGTTGTGATTAGTTTTGGCTATTTATTTTTACGACCGGTCGTCTACTTGACATCAACCCACTTTGGAAATCAGAATTAATTAAACCTATTTTGATAAGAATAGTGTGTTCAATATTTTAATAATATTTAGCGAATAAATAGATAGTGTTTAAGCATATTGATTTCCCCAGAACAGTGACTTTTTTATTTTTTTTTTTTGTTTTCTTTGTGATTTGTAATTACACCAGTACCTGTACTCGTCTATTTTACATAAAGTAACAAATATTTAATTGGTGATAAGTACGCAGTAATTACTTGTTTATAAAATAGGCTTTATAATATCTTTTGAAGCAAACCAAAGCTTTAAGTGTAAAAAAAAGCATCTACGTTTAAGTTTTTAAAACTATCTGGTAGCGAGAGCTTCAGGTATCCATAGAATAGGGCCTCGCGAATCCTACATCATTTTATCCTACATCACATCTCTGCACGCCGCTGATATTAAAAAACAAAATGTTAACGTTACTTTTATGTTCAAAACCGCGCTTGTATTTTTTCGGATCCCTAAAAAAAAAGCCATACAATTTGATCCGCTCCACTTATCCCAAGTATTTAATTATGAAATCATTTTTAAAAGTGTAACGGACCGAGAGTGTTTTATTAAAACAAAATGTTATTCAAACAACGCGAACAATTTCCAAAGTCAATATTG